CGTACATTCGTGGCAAAAATTTGCAAGAGGTCCACGAATTGAGGGCGGGTCGTTTTCAAAATGTGGTTTTCGTCTTGGCGCCGCGTACATTCGTTTAAAAACAACAAAAATTAACGGGTTGAGGGCGGGTGTTTCTCAAAATGAGGCTCACACTTTCGCACCGAGCACAACCCTTTCAACCATTGGCAAGAGTCTCACTCACTGATTGAAGGCGAGTGGCTTTCAACTGTGACTCCCGCGACAAGCACATTCGTTAGAAAACGGTGCAAAAAAAATATCAGGTTGAGGGCGGGTTGTTTTCAACATGTGGCTATCGCCTCAACGCCGCGCACACTCGTCTAAGAAAGTTGCAAGAGGTTCATGGAGTGAGGACGGCTCATATTCTGAATGTGGCTCTCGCCTCAGCGCCGCAGAGGAGTTCGCACCGTCCTCCCTCCCTCGCCCCCTCCCTCCCGCCAGTCCAAAGATCCCACCTCCCCCACGGGCCCCACAGGTCCCACAGGCCGCAGAAGTCCCACTTGTTCCACAGGTTCCACAGATCGCACAAGTCCCAAAGTTCCCACCTGCCCCACAATGTCCACGGGTCAGGCTATGACATGTGTCCGCGGAGAGGGAGCGCAAGAACGCGGTCGCCTCAGACCACACCTGTGAACACGACCTGGGGTGAGTCCGATCTTCTCTGCCTGGGCCAACCATACCAAGGAAGCAAGCAAGCGCGCAGCATCGAGGAAGATTACCAGGGTAGAATAAAGGGCGGGAGGAGACAGCGAGAGAGAGATCCCCATATCAGCAAGGCCTGGGGCTTCACATCACTCAAAGAAGCTCCTGAGTCATCTCACGATAAGATCGCCCCCATCACTCAGGCCAGCGCCGAGAACGCCTCCCAGCGGATCGCGTGGCACTCCTCTCGGACGTAGAAGGATATTGGTAGCCCATCCGAATCTACAAAAAATTAAAGGTGGCTGGCCTCACCGCGATGAGATACCTTCAACTTCCACCGCGTTTGCACTGCATCCGAATACTTGTCATGCCACGGCGCAGAGTCCGAGGTCATCGGGAAAAGCTGAGCGACATATCCAATGTCCGAATACACGCATTCATTCGACAAGCTACTGGATACCCCCACTGTCGATGGCCACGCGGAGGTCATGGACGCAGCAAGCATACACGAGCCTAAATACTTCATCCACTGCGGTAGCGCCCACCACCAAGAAAAACCAGCTACCGGGCAGACCGGGGTGCACGACCCTCCGTGCTACTGGCCCCTGATGAGCCGCAAGATCTTCTGGGCGCGCACCTTCCTGGGGAAAGTTTCGATCACCTTCGTTTCGTAGGACCCTTGGAGCAGGCGGTTGGCCTGAGCAACAAACCACTTGTCGCCCGGAACCTTCTGGACGAAGGCCTCGAGGCCCATCACCGTGGCCTTGTTCGGTGAGATCGGGCACTTCTCGCCCTGCTTAGACTGCAGCCAACCACTCTCGGCGCGGGCGAGCGCATCAATCGACGCCCCTGCACCTGCCGCGGCGCTGCCGGAATATCCACGACAGCCCGACTCAGATGCCGGACGTATCCTCGCCATATGATCCCACGTCACTGTCTCGAGTGGTCCGACGCGCATCGCCTCCGCCGGGGCAGGCGCAGGACTCCTCGGCCTGCTTGTCGCGCCAGAAATTCGCATACTCGCCGTCGGTCCACTGGAGCCGCTCGCGGGCCCTAGCAACATGTTCTTCGCGCTCCTCGCCAGACGACACGAGCGGGGGATCCCGCCTGCGAGAGCCACCGCGGTCGTCGCAGCCGCGGCTCGTCGCAGTTCCGCCAGTTCTGCCGCCCGCAGTTTGAGCGCCCCCCGCGCCAACACCCACAAGAGCGGTCGTCGCCGAAGGTTTTGCGCGGAGGCAGGCCTCGACGATCGTCTGGGCGACGGTCGCAGCGGCCACCATGCCCATGCATCGCCATTGCGCCCAAGTTCAGAAGGATACAACACCGTCGAATATTGAGCCTGACCCCTTGAGCCACACTGGAGGGCGGCTCTGAAAAACAGAAAAGCACGAAGAATTGGCAGAGCGTGAGAGAGAACCAACATCTCATATAACAGTTCCAACATTCAGATGATTGCAATCGACGCCGGAAGCCCCACCGCCAGGGCGAATCGGCTCGCGCACAAGCTGGAAAGAAGGCTCAAGTCGCGATGCATGGCCCGGGCCCACGGATGAACCGTAGAAGTAGGTCGCTTAGTCGATGCCCCAAGTATAAATTTCCTGTCCAGGTTTTGGGGGAGGTAGACCAGCATGTCATCGATCGACCAAGTCTCCAAATCCAGCCAAACCACGGTAGAACCCAGATATTCCAAATCACACGCCGAAATACTTGTACGTCGGACTGGTGCGTCTGGAATCGCGATGTACATGAACGACAATAACTCGCACTGATACTCATGACATCATCTACGAAGCATCGGGACGTCACTCGGCACCAGAACCGCCGAGGACACTTGCGAAGATGCAGGCCAAGCAGAAGCAGGACAGGCAGAACATGAAACGGACACTGCGGGAACCGTTGGTGGGCGAGGAAAACCTTGCTGCACGAATCTCTCGACATCTGACTTCGAGTTCTCCTCCTGGGAAGCTACGAGAATGCTCAATGCAACCTCCACTCAACGTCCCCCCACTGGGGAGACCACCCAATTCGAACACCTTCCCGGCCACCGCGACAACTGAGATCCAACAGAATGCCGCCAAAGCCTGCTAGACATCATGGAAAGAAAGACGAAACCAGCCCGTGGGACATGCAGATAGATACAGCTGGCCGGACACTGATGCGGCGTGACTTTTTTCATCGAGACAGCCAAGAAGAAACTAAAGCAGCCAGCCGCGGACGCACAGACTCCAGCGCCGATGAGGTACGAGCGGCTGCGCACTGCTCGCACGCCTGGTCGGCATTACCTGTCGCAACGGACACACAGGGAACCTGCGCTCCACAGCGCACGCAGGAAAGTTGGCTTTCGCGCGGTAGCTCATTCCGTGATTGCTCCAGTGACGGAACGGCCTGGCCGACGTCGAAGATCTCGAAGCCGACACTCGCGAAGCTGATCATTCCTCTCGCCGCCCTGCCGATGACCTTGAAACATGCTGACCCTGGCAAGCCGCTTGTATCGACTACGCGTTGAGAACACGAATGGTTGAACTTCCGGCAAAGCTGGATACCCACAGCACTGATGCCCTTCTCCCTGACCCAAAGGAAAAATCGACGGGCATTTCGTTGGCACTGATGCTCCTGGCAGTTGCCGTCGTCCCCGAAACCTAACTTGCAGTCCAATTTCTACTCGCGCCCAGAACCATGCACGAACGTCTTGCTCGGGGAGGTCGGCAGGATGCGTCCAAGAAGGGTCTCGCAGAATAGTTTCAATCATATATCGTGTCAGGTCTAATCCAGTGCTGATCCACGCTCGATCCTTGTCTTTGTCATTGGCTATGTACACATCGTGCGAAGAAGTAGGCGATTTCACCTGTATAATGTGCTCCATCTCTTCTCATGCCATTGGCACGGCTTTGCCTGGATGCTCATGTCGTTGCCGTTGCTGGTGGAGTTCCCGTAGGGTGGCTTTCGGGATGTTGGTATGCACTATGGCTCTGCCTGCACAAGAGTTCAAAGTCGTGCGAAGCTGTCCATGCAATGCCCGTGATGATCCCACAACACTGGGAGCCGCCATGCTCCATGCAGTCGTCGCTGAACCAATGGCGGTAGAAGAGGCGGGTCTTGATGCACTTGTGGAAGATCACGGACACGAGCTTTCCGAAAAAACTGGGGGCTGACACACAATCCTTCCAAATCCGCTTCTTCTTGAAGGGGACCTTGTGCTGATGCTGGTCCAATGCCGGGCACAACGGAGGCGGATGTGTGGTAAAAGTAATTATTTGAATGTAGGGAGGTGCTGTTTACACGGAGCACGTCGAAAAGCATGAGGAACCTGCAGCACTGGTACTTGAAGAAATGTTGGTAGTTGAACTTTGCGCAACAGCCTATCAATACCAACATTCGCAGCAATAACACGATGCAACGACTCAAGTAAAACCTGTGCGAGTCGCGCCGCACGGAACAACATGTTGGCGAGCACCGCGCTCGGCCATAATGGGGGGGGCGTGGCTGCACGGCGGACTGATACCCATGCAAAATAGCGGCCCAACTTAGAAGCCTTTTTGAAGTGCACCAGTAGCAGGTATTGCAGACAGTGTTGAGAGTGATTCCGATGCCCATTCGGGAAAATGATTTGGCACGTTCCTCTTGAGTGCCAGTGGCTCCAACCTCGAAAATCGCATCACAAAAGACATGGGCCTGGATAGCAATGTGCTCCGAAGTCGAGGCCGAGGGCCACGCTGCCATGTAGCAGAACCTTCTGAAGACAAGCACAGGTAACAACAGAATGCCAATAGAAACCACATCACCAGTCCTGCAAGCATGCTCACACAAATAGTAGTGGACGAAGAAGGAGAACTGCACGTCTGAGCACGGTATGAAACATGAAACACGCCACGCCCGCGAAAGACTGGGGCACGGTCAAACCACGAACACCCGTTGCACCGCGACGATGCCGGCTCTGAACGTGTCACGAGAGAGTCTGCTGCTTAGAAACTGATCGGATCGTTTCTCTGGATTCGGAGCGCGAGAACGCGGTCGCCTCGGACCACACCTGTGAGCACGACCTGGGGAGAGTCCGATCTCCTCTGCCTGGGCCGACAACGCCAGGGAAGCCAGCGCGCGCAGCATCGAGAGAGAGAGAGAGACAGGGAAAAACAAAAAACAAAAAAAAAAAAACAACAACAAAAAACGCAATAGGGAAGGGATGGGAGGGAGGGATAGGATGATGTCGGATGTAGCGCAAGCGCACCTAGCTTGTCCTCCTCCCTCTCCCTCCCTCCCTCCCTCCCTCCCTCCCTCCCTCCCTCCTCTTCCTCCCGCTCCGTCCGGTCCCCCCGTGCACGCTGTGGTCCACGGGAGCCAGCCTCCGCTGCGGTAGGAGCGGTCGTTGCTGCGGCCGTCCGGCTTGCTCCAGCCGCCGCTCCAGCCTCGGGGTCGGCACCGGCCGGCGACTCCGCTGCACGGGAGCAGCACTGCGGGGCTGGGCCGGGCGGGCGAGGAGGTCTGAGAGCGAGGCTGCGGTGCGCTTCGGGCAGGCAGGAACCAAAACACACACGGGGCGGCCGAGCGCGCTGGAAGCTGGAAGTGGCTCTCTCTCTCTCTCTCTCGAGAGAGAGAGAGAGAGGACGGCACACGAGGACAGCACAACGATGACTGTCCATCGACACGAATGTACACCAAGACCTGAATAACTATATACCTATGTACATACGCAAGCACACAGAAATAGAAACCGAGAGAAAGAGAGAAAGAGAGAAAAATAGGGAGAAAGAGAGAGAGAGAGAGAGAGACCACACTCAGGAGGACATGGTTATATACGAAAGCAGCACACAATGAGGCCGAGAGGATCTGTCGCAGTTCGAGGCACGAGATAGGCGTGATGAAGGACTCAAGACATTAGCAGCATGACGAAGCCCAGGAGAACCCAGCAGACGCATGGAGTCATTGAAAGCTGAAGAGCCCCATTTCCAAGATGCAGCAGACAAGCAAGCCCAACACTGACGAGGCACAGGCAAGCAGGCAGAGTGGGCAAAGAACTGACAGAAAAGGGAGACGAATACTTAATTGGTGAGAAACCATCCGCGAGGGTGTGCGAAGATCAATGCATACTGTCAATAAGAAGGGAATCGCGCACATAAGAACATAACACTGCAGGGATCGACACACGAAACCGAGGTAGCAAAAAGATGGAGGCCAGAAGGGAGACACACTCAGCAGCAGATCGAGGACCAGGGCTAGTCCCACCCGAATCGGAGAACACTTCTGAAGGAGCGGCCCGTCGCAGCACCGAGCGAGGGGCCACGTCATCTGCGAACGTGTGCACCGCCCCTCCGACAAAAATCCTGCGGGCACCAGCCCCCCTGGACACCAAACAGGACAACTACCGCACGAAAGGATCGCCGCGGCTTAAAGGGCAAGAGAGTTCTGCTGCGGCAGAAGACCTCCGCTCCAATTGCCGCCGCTGTTGGACCTCCACCGGCTGAGGACAGCGGGGGCAATCTCCAAGCCACAGCAGACAAGAAGAGAGCAGAGGAAAACGAGAAGCAGAAGCAGGATCAGGAACAGCGACAGTTGCACGACAGAAGTACGGATGATGACGGACACGGCGACTGTCTTCTGCTACAGAACACACTGCATGCTGCGTCTCATACCTCGCACACGGCCTCGCGACCACATTTGGCAAGGCGACTACGCAAACCAATGTGTCAGCACATCAGAGATACGCGCCCCTGCGAGTGCTCGTGCATTGACTATCACGTGAGACCCGCAGCCCCAAAGCCAGAGATTGCGCGAGCAGAGGCGCTGGTTGGTGGAGCCCTTGCCACCTCCGTACCTGACGGATGCGACTCGCTCGAGCCACCGGCAGCAGGACACCCCCATGCCCCTACGACCACGAGGCTTCCCACTGCTACGGTCACGGTGCGTGTGCCGAGGCCGCCCACCGACTGCGCAAGGATCTGCTCCCTGCCCACTAAAGGCGCATGCTCCGCGGCTCTCTCGCTCGCCACCACCGAGTCGAAGAATGCTTGACGACACAATCGGGACACAAGACTCGCAACCTTGCCAACCTTAGCACTCGCGCACACTGCGAGCACCACATGAGGAAAACGCCCATGACCGACCGCGCGAAAAAGGCTCGAGCACGCCCTCATGAAGGCCCTGCCCTTCATACTAGAAGCACGACTGCGTGGGCGAGAACTGCTCAAGTAAAGCGGATTGCAAAGAAGAGAAGAGTACAGAGGGGAGGCAAGCAGGGCAGAATATGTACCCTTCCTTCTGGTGCCCATCACAGCCACACTTGCAGGACTTGGAAAAATTGGTGTGGGTGCAGTGCGACAAAAGAAGACATCCTGGCTCGCAAAAGACTGCCAAATACCATGACCCATTTTCCCTAGCCTCTGGAGCACCCTCGGAGGCGCGCAGAGTGACCGAGGAAGCCAGCGACGCACCAGCGATAAGATGATGATGATGATGACGATGACGATGATGATGATGATGATGATGATGATGACGACGACGACGATGGTGACGACGACGATGATGATGCTGATGATGATGATAATGGTGGTGATGGTGATCATGCCGTGCGCTTTGGGTGTGGTAAGTCTCGGCTCGCTGAGCCTGCACTGCCTCCGAAATGTAAGATACGTGGGAGCGGCCTCCCGTCCGAGACTCTGAGGACTAATGATGATGATGAGCTTATGATGATGATGGTGATGATGATGGTGATATGATGATAATGGTGATGGTGATTGATGATGATGATGATGATGATGATGATAATGATGATGATGACGATGGTGTTGGTGATGGTCATCGTAATGGTGATGATGGTGATGGTCATGGTTATGGTGGTGTTGATGGTGATGTTGGTGGTGATGGTGATGGTGATGGTGACGGTGATGATGATGATGACTATGCTGGTGGGGATGATGTTGATGATGGAGATAATTATGTTGATACTGATGATGATGCTAATGCGTATGCTGATGCTGGTAATGATGATGGTGATGACGCTGATGATGATGATGATGATGATGATGGTGATACTGGTGATGATGATGATGATGAAGATGAGGATGAGAATGAGTGTGATGGTGATGGTGACGATGATGGTGATGGTGGGGATGATGGTGATGGTGCTGGTGATGATGACGGTGCTGATGCTGATAATGATAATGATGATAATGGTAATGATGATGGTAATGATGATGGTAATGATGACGGTAATGATGATGGTAATGATGATGATGGTTATGATGATGGCTGTGTTGGTGGTGCCATTGATGATGATCATGATGATGGTGCTGCTGGTGATGATGACGATGACAATGACGATGGCGATGACGATGATCAACATGGTGCTAATGATGATGCGTATGAGGATGATGTTGCTGATAATAATGATGATGATGCTGGTGATGATTACACTGATGATGAAGCCGATGATGATGGTGGTCATGGTGCCGCTGGCGATCATGATGTCATCACTGATGATGATAACGATGCTGATGATAGTGCTGAGGATGGCGAGAAGGATGAGAATGTGGATGAGGATGAGGATGAGGATGATGCTGATGATGATGCTGACGATGAGGATGCTGATGATGATGGTGATGATGATGATGAGATTGATGATGAAGATGATAATGCTGATGATGATGATAATTATGACGGTGGTGGTGCTGCTGATGATGATGACGAGGACGATGAGGATGATGATGATAATGATGATGAGGACTAGGAGGGGGGAGAAGGATGGTGATGATGACAATGACGATCATGGTGGTATTCATGATGCTGATAACTATGATGATGATAATGGTGATGAGAATGTGGATGAGGATGAGGATGAAGATGATGATGCCGATGGTAATGATGATGATGGTGGTGGTGATGGTGATAATAATGATGATAATGATGCTGATGATGATGACGAGGCAGATGATGGTGATGGTGATGATCATGCGGATCATGATGACGATGACGACGATAATGATGAGGATGGGGGTAATGATGATGATGGTGGTGATGATGATGATGTTGGTGATGATGGTGATGATGGTGCTGATGATGTTGGTGACGATGGTGTGCATATATCTGCCGAGAGTGGGAGAGAAAGAGAGAGAGAGAGAGATCGGGAGATGCCGATGCATCGATCGTGCTCGCGTAGTCCATCCCAAACCAATTGGTCCCTCAAGAAACGATGTCAGGTCAGGGCCCATTGCGACAAGCTAGATTCAATGATGCCGCCACGTGCGCTTGCCTCTATTGTTGCACCTGATCCCTCGAACCTGGATGGTCCGAGTCACTTGCTGGCGCGTTGTGCAGATGGTGGTTTGAAGCAGACGGGTCTGCTGTCGAAGAGTGGTCCGTGGTCGCGCCTAGGATCACCTCTGCAAGTGTTACACGAGAATATTGGCATCCAGGACCGGCGTGAACCAACCCCGAGCAGAGCGTGATCGGCTCGTTTGGGCTATCTTCGTTTCCGCGCGGCTCATTGCTCAATCAGGGGCACCAGGTCGGCCGCATGGGCGCGAAACCCTCCCGTTGCGCATCGTGGATGCTACCCGCGAGATTAGGTGACCGTCACTCACCACCACACCAACCATCATTATAATCATCACCATCATCATCATCATCATCATCATCATCATCATCATCATCATCATCATCATCATCATCATCATCATCATCATCATCATCATCATCATCATCCATCATCATCATCATCGGCGTCGTCTATGTCATCACCATTATCATCATCCTATCATATTATCATCACCAGCATCACCAGCATCATCATCATCGACAGCATCATCATCAGCATCATCATCATCGTCATCATCATCATCATCATCATCATCGCCATCATCATCCTCATCCTCATCCTCATCCTTATCGTCTCCCTCAGCATTATCATCAGTATCGTTATCACCATCATATGTTTCAGATTCTGTATCCCTCCCTCTCCCTCTCGCTTGCCGGGACAGCAGCAAGTCCTGAGGAAAACGGGTCCCGAACCCCAGGCCGCCTTCCTCCAAAGCTGGCTTCTCGTCCCTGGAAGTCGTCGGACAGCCACGGAACCCTGGAAGAGGGCCCGCAGAGCCCGCGAGCTGCTCCGAGAATCCCTGGACCCGTTGCCCTCGGAACGCTTCTCCTTCATTGAAGGGGCCCTGGGACACACAAATAAATACACACAAATACAAAGATTCCCCATAGATTCCCCATATTTTCCCATATCTTCTGGGTGTCTGCCTTCCCCCCCACTTCCCATATTTTCCCATGTTTTCCTGGGAGTGGACGGTTCATTGTGTCTGTGTGTTTCTTTCCCTCCTGACTCATGGCGACATCTTCCTCTCGCTCTGCCCACCCCATCCGGGGCACCCGGCCCCTGAGCTGGAGCCCTTGCCGCCGCCGTAGCCTCCCATCAGCACTCTGGGGTCGGACGACGGACCGACGAGCGACTCACCTCACGCGCAGCGTTCGGTGGCAACTCGTGGGAGCCTCCCGTACCATCTTGTCGGCTCTTGCGAATCGACGCTCGTCGTCGCAAAATCGACGCCAGATCGACGCCAGATCGACGCCAGATCGACGCTAATCGACGCTGTATCGGCGCTATCTCATCGACTCCCAGACGGCAGTCGACGATAATCGACGCTGAAGACAGAATTAACAGGGTATACCAGGCTCCCATGATTTGCTACCGAAGCAGCTGGTCTCCCCAGCCCTCGAGTATAGGATCGAATACAAAATTGACTTGCCCCAGACTTCCCAACCATCCCGTGGTGTTGAGTCTTCGTTTGCCAGAGACAGCGCCCCGCGTTCCTCTCCTCCTCTCCTCTTTCCCCATCCTCCCTCCTCCCATCGTCATTCTCCAGCTCCTACTCCTCCTCCTCCTCCTCCTCCTCATCATCATCATCATAGTCATCCTCATCCTCATCCTCATCCTCATCCTCATCATCATCATCAGCAGCAGCAGCAGCATAATCAGCAGCATCACCATCATCACCATCATCAGCATCATCATCCTCATCAGCAGCAGCATCAGCATCAGCGTCAGCATCAGCATCATCAGCATCATCATCAGCATCATCATCATCATCATCATCATCATCAACATCATCATCATCATCATCGTCATCGTCAACATCATCAGCATCGTGATAATCAGCATCATCATCGTCATCAGCATCATCATCTACAACATCATCATCAACAACATCGTCATCAGCATCAGCAGCATCAGCATCATCAGCATCAGCAGCATCATCATCAGCATCATTATCCTCTTCATCGTCGCCATCATCACCAACATCATAATCAGCAGCATTGACATCATCATCAGCAGCATCATCAGCATCAGCTTCACCATCATCATCAGCAGCATAAACATCCTCATTAGCATCCGCATCATCCTCACCACCATCATCATCATCAGCAGCATCGTCATCCTCATCATCACTATTACCACCACGACCACCACCACCATGATCATGCACATGATCATCAGCATCATCATCAATATCATCATCAGCATCATCAGCAGCATCATCACCAACAGCAGCACCATCATCTTCTTCTTCTTCATCATCATCATCATCATCATCATCATCATCATCATCGTCATCAGCACACCCCTTACACCTCTCTCGTGGCCCCACGAGGAGATCCACCTAAGACCCAAGTGGCACAGTTCGCATGGCGGCGGCGCCGCCCCATTGCGCACCCTTCACACGTTTCGCGGCCCCATGGGGAGCTCCACCTAAGGCCCCAGTGGCGATGTTCCCATGCGTCCGCGCCACCCATTTTAGCACACTCCTCACACGTTTCGTGGCCACATAGGGAGCTCCACCTAAGGCCCACGTGGCCATGTTCCAATGCGCCCGCGCCACCTCTCACGGCACACCCCTCACACATTTCGTAGCCCCATAGAGAGATCCACCTAAGGCCCGAGTGGCGACATTCCCATGCATCCGCGCCACCGATTTCGGCACGCTCCTCACACGGTACGTGGCCTCATAGGGAGCTCCACCTAAGGCGGCGGTGGCGACGTTCCCATGCATCCCCGCCACCTATTACGGCACACCCCTCACACATTTCGTAGCCCCATAGGGAGCTCCACCTGAGGCCCCAATGGCAACGATCCCATGCGTCCCCGCCACCCATTTTGGCACAACCCTCACACGGTTCGTGGCCACGTAGGGAGCTCCACCTAAGGCGCCGGTGGCGACGTTCCCAGGCGTCCTCGCCACCTATTTACGGCACACCCCTCACACATTTCGTAGCCCCATAGGAAGCTCTACCGAAGGCCCCAGTGGCAACGCCCCCATGTGCCCCAGCCACCCATTTTTGGCACACCCCTCACACGGTTCGTGGCCCCACAAAGAGATGTCCACCTAAGGCTACAGTGGCGACGTTCCCATGCGTCCCCGCCGCCTGTTATGGCACACCCCTCACACATTTCGTAGCCCCACAGAAAGCTCCACCTGAGGCCCCACTGGCGACGTTCCCAGCCACCCATCTTTGGCACACCCCTCACACGTTGAGTGGCCCCATAAAGAGGTCCACCTAAGGTCACAGTGGCGACGTTCCCATGCGTCCACGCTACCCATTTCGGCACACCCCTCAAACTGTTCGTGGTCCCATAGGGAGCTCCACCTAAGGCTCCAGTGGCGGCATTCCCATGCGTCCGCGCAACTCATTTCGGCACACCCCGTATACTGTTCGAGGCCCCATTGGGAGCTTCACCTTAGGCCTCAGCAGCGACGTTCCCATGCGTCCCCGCGACTCCTTGCTACACACCCCATCGCACGTTTCGTTGCCCCGTAGGGAGCTCCGCCTGAGGCCTCAGCGGCGACGTCCCCATGCGTCTCCGGGACTCATGTCGGCACACTCCTCACACGGTTCGCAGCCCCATAGGAATCTCCACTTGAGGCCCCAGTTGGGACGTTCCCATGCGTCCCCGCCACCCATTACGATTACGGCGCTCCCCTTCACGCGGTTCGTGGCCCCATAGGGGAGCTCCACCTAAGGCCCCAATGGTGCCGTTCGCTCGCGTCTTCGTCGTTATTTTCGGCGCACCCCTTGCACGCTTCGTGGCCCCATCGGGAACTCCACCGAAGGCTTGAGTGGCACCGTCCACGTGTGTCCCCAACTCATTTCGGCGCACCCCACCCACGTTTTATGGCCGCGCTTAGTCTCTCGTACTCAGACCTATCGTCTTCGCTCGAGCTATGTACGACGCCACACATGTCGGCACGCACCTCACTGGGTTCGTGGCCCCATAGGGAGCGCTACCGAAGACGATACCCACAATTGCGATACTCACAACTGCGCATGGTTGGGTCATTCGCCGGGCTACTTGATTCTTCTCGTCGAATCCACGGAACATGCGCAGGGCGTTCGTAGAACTACAAACATCCTTCGTATTTGGGTTGAAGATTCGACGTCAAGATCAAGGTTGGGGCAAATCGATTCTGCAGTCAGTGATCCCCTACTCGAGGCCCCCCCCGGCGCCAAAAGGCGCAGGCGTGCCGAGGAGAAAGCGCACCCGGAAGGCGCAGGCGACGCCGGCTGCGCGCCAAGCAGACTTCGCTCGGGGGCGGCCAAGAGGGGGGCGTCCAAGAGGGTGGGTGCAAAGCATGGCCGGCGGCATGTGCGCGGCCCTTGGGGGGGGGGCCAGGGACGTATTGAAATGAGAAGAGGCACCCCGAAATCTGGGGAGATATCATGGCCCCCGCCATGATATCCACCCCCACCCAGTCATCACCCCACTCCTTTGCCGCCCCCGGCTCTCCGCGAGTTCCCAGCAGTCCCAGGACGAGGCCGGGACAGCGACGACAGCCAGGCCTCGGACAGGGACTAAAATCCTGCTCTCTGCGCCTCGTGGCGCGGCCGATGCCACTCGGCTGCGACCCTCGTGGCGAGGCGGCCCGCTCCGACGCGCGCTCCGATCCGAGCCGGCTTCCCAGTTCGATGCTGACTGATGCTGCTGTCTCCCTTTGCTCACTCTTACTCCCTCCCCCTCCGCGGCAGCGATCGCCCCAGCACGCGCACGCTGCGTGTGCGTCGCCCCCCCCCTGGGGTTGAGTCGGGCCTGTCCCCCTGCAGGGGGATCTTGGGCGAAAACTGAAACATGCCCCAAAGATGCCCCCCGAATGGGAAAAAATAGTCAAGAGATCGTCCCGCGACTATGTTTGGACTATTTTCGAATATTCCTCCTGAAGAGGGGCAGGCCCGACTTCACCCTGGGGGCGGGCGGCGCGCGCGTTCGGAACTCTCACAGGAGCATGGTCGGTGGCGGGCCTCCTTCTGGCCATGCCGCCCGGGTCAGGGTATGCCGATTGGATGCGTGTGCTGTGCCCGGTTCGGACGCCCGCCTCGTACAGGCCTCGGGAGAGAAAGGGGAAAAAAGGAGAAACAAAAAAAAAAAAAAAAAAAAAAACGAACACGCATGCCACATTCGTCGGGCAACGCCTCCCCCCTCCCCCCCCAAGGTTCGATCGAAGCTGGCGGTGGGTCTGGTGAGTTCCACTTCGACCCCGGTCTCCCCCGCGCGTGCCAACTTTGAGCTCGGGGTAGCGGGGGAGCGTCCCCCAATCGTTTCCCCCTACCGTCGGACCACGACAAACCTCATGGATCTCTGAGATCTGGCAGCTCTGGAGGACGTGTCGGGCGCCGCGGCCTTCTCGGAGCGTCCCGAGGCGCTCTGAGAGAACGTTCTGGCACGCTCTGAAACGGTCTTCCCCCCCCCCTTGAACGAAGGATTGCAAAAAAACCGAAGGATTGCAAAAAAACCCAGGATTGCAAAAAAAAAAAAAACCGAAGGATTGCAAGACCCCCGACGTCATGACTTTGCCATGACGTCGACCCCCAGAGGACTCGTCCCAGTCCCCAGCGCCGGGCTTTGGCCCTGAGTCGTCTCTGGACGGTCCGAGGCCGGCAAGGGCCCCCACAGGCCGAAACATCGCCAGCCGAATTTCGTTGCCACAAGGGCTCCCAACTTCGCGCGTCGCGCTGCGCGAAGCGCGAAGTGCGAATTACTTCGCGCTCTCGCGCCGCCTCCCAGGGGAGAAGAGGACGATGAGGAGGAATCGGAGCAGAACCGCGAAGCGCGAAGCGCGGATAACTTCGCGCCCTCGAGGGCGCCCTTGAATTTCGTTGCCATGGCTCGAGGGGGTCTGTCCCACACCTCCAGGGAGGCCCCGCCAGAGCGAGGAGGGCATCGGAACCACACACTGTTGACGCGGTGTCGCGCCCCCCTCGTCCAACCAACCCAATATTAGCTCGGGCACGTCCCCCTACAGGCAGATTTTGGGCGAAACAATAAAGATACCCCAAAAATGCTGGGCGATTTGGGGGGATTTGGGGGGGATTGCGTGGCGATGTTTAGGGGATTCGTTGAGCGAGAAAGATTCAAAAATACTCAAAAATAGTCAAAAAAATCCCCCGTCTGTTCTTTTGACTATGCTTGAATATCCTGTAGAAGGACAGGCCCGACATTATGTGGGAAACTCCTTCAGAATATCTTCACGACTCGAGGGGGTCTGGGCCTGCCCCCGCCGCGCCCCAAAGTCCGCCTCCGCCGCCCGTTGTGGGCGGCGCGCACGAGGGGGGCGGCGCCCAGGGGGGAGCCCTGCCGAGAAGGCTTGGGGGTGAGCGGGGGGGCCTCTTGGAAGGCGGGGAGGAGGAGGAGGAGGAGGAGGAGGAGGAGGAGGAGGAGGAGGAGGATGAGGAGGAGGAGGACGAGGAGGAGGAGGAGGAGGAGGAGGAGGAGCAGCAGGAGGAGGAGGAGGAGGCGGAGGAGGAGGAGGAGGAGGAGGGGCAACCATGGGGGGCACTGGCACAGGGGAGGGCGAGGGGCAACGAGAGGGGAGGGGGGGCTGGCATGGGGGGGGATGGCTGGCAAGGATGGGGGACGAGGGGCAACGATAGGGGCGGCCTGGAATCGGCGATACATCGCCGATAGATCGGCGATTGGCCTCCGATAGCGAATCCGCACCTCCCTGGGCAGGCTGGGACTAACGGGCCCCTCTCGGCGATCACGGCGCGATTCGGGGTCGGTGCGTCCCCCGTATGCCCATCCCGCTCCAATCGCTGCCCCTGAGCAGCGGCAGCAGGAGCAAACCAGGAGGCTGGGCAGGCCGCAGGAAGCAAAGGATACGGGCAGGCCAAACTCTTGATGCCATTCGACGATGATGACGACGACGACCACGACGACGACGACGGCGGCGGCGGCGGCGACGGCGACGGCGTCGGCGACGGCGACGGCGACGGCGACGGGGACGGGGACGGGGACAGCGACGACGACGACGACGACGACGACGACGACGACGACGACGAGGGCGACGGCGATGTACCCCCCTGGACCCATGCGTTGCACTGCTTTCACACCGGGCGATTTCGCCGGGTTTCTGGGCTCCGGGACCCGCACAGATCGATCCAGCTCGAAAGCTGGGGCAGAAAAAGCTGGCGTCTGGGGGCTGCCGTCGCGCTAGTTCGCGATGTCGCAGCTTTTCCGCAGCGGCGGATCTCAGGGCCCCCCCCCCCCTTAATGAAAACGGCCTGTGACCGAAACCGACGGACCTGGACCCATAAAAAATGACGGCCGCGACGCCCTCTCGCGAGCCGAAAACGGCCAATTCCTCAATCGACGTGTCAGGGTAGGAGTTCTGTCCACCTCCGAGCGGATCTCAGGGCCCCCCCCCCCCGCGGCCGCCCCCTGAGTCTTTGCCGCCCTTGTCGGCGGCAGCTCCCTTTCCGCCTGAGGGCAGCGGACGCGAGGGCGGAGCCGGCGGGCGGGGGCGGGAGGGGCAGGATCCGCCAGCGTCGAGCCTGCTCCTCCTCCTCCTCCTCCTCCTCCTCCCTCCCTCCCTCCCTCCCTCCCTCCCTTCCTCCCTCCCTCCCTCCCTCCCTCCCTCCCTCCACTCCTTTCTTCGCGCCCCTCGGACGTCGCGTGCCGTGGCGGGCCTGAGATCGGATCGGGCCGCACCAGCACGGAGCCGACGTCGAGACGGATCGGCCCCGCCTGGATGCACGACAGCACCATGCAGGCACTGGTCCGCCTCGGATCGTCGGAACAGCGGAGCCGGAGCGGATCAGGACGGGCACTGTCTTTCTTTCTCTGCGCGCGGGCCAAGCCTCAGGAGGTGCACGGTGAGAGGACATGATGCTCCAGCACTGCTCCGGAAACTGATGTGCCGAGTGAAGGAGAAAGCGGGGGGAAGCAGGAGGGAGGGGGGGACGGGCTCAGTCGCTGTCGAGTCGGATCGATCGGGCCGAAGTTGACCCTGGAGGCAGGGGCGAGGAGGGAGGACGAGGGAGACCAAGGACGAGGAGGACGAGGAGGACGAGGAGGACGAGGAGGACGAGGAGGACGAGGACGAGGAGGACGAGGAGGACGAGGAGAACGAGGAGGACGAGGAGGATCAAGGCGACGAGGAGGACGAGGAGGACGAGGAGAACGAAGAGGGGGGCAGCGGAGAGGGGGAGTGGGGGGAGGAGACGGAGCCTGGCGACGGAAGCGTGGACTGGGAGGAGGTTGGGAAGCAGGGAGGAGCAAGGACAAAGAGTGGTCTGTAGGAAGGGGGAAGAAAGAGAGAGAGAGAGAAAGAAAGAAAGAAAGAAAGAAAAAGAGAGAGAGAGAGGGAGAGAGAGAGCGAGAGACACACACAGAGACAGAGACCGATTCAGGAGTTTCGACGCGCCTGCAGCAGCGGCGGCGGCGGCCGGGGACTAAAAGACAAGAACTGAGGCAGGTTAAAGCAGCGAGCACAGACGTATGAATGGCTTTGTGTGGGGCAGCACGTGACCCCGTTGGCCATGAAACGCGCACCCCGCAAATTGTGAGGCCGTGGACAAAGGTGGCACTGTGCAGGGCCGCTCTCTCCGTCTCTGGCGACGACGGGCACGCCCCTTCTTTTCTCCTCCGCCTCCTCCTCCAGCTCGTTACCTTCCAACACGTTTCCATCCTCCTCGCACTCCTCCCAGAACTTCTCCCTCCTCCCCTCCTCAGTCCATCCTTCTCCCTCGTCATCGTCCACCTCCGCCATCCTCATCCCTCGAGCTGGGATCCCCCCGCTTGGATAGCGGGGCCCGTGAAGGACTTGGGAGACAACTGGGGCAACCCACGTCGGTGAAGCCGACGGGGTGGTCCGTGCCTCATGTCTTAATGGGACAGCAAGCAGGAGAGCGATCAGCCTAAGGACTGCTCAGGGCTGTGGGGTGCGCCGCCCCGATGGGAGGGGGGCAGGCTGTGCTTAAAGGGTCCCCTCCCCTGCTCCATTACATGTGCCATACTCCTTTTTGATGAAGGGCCGGCAGCAGGAGGGCCGCGGGGGCGCGACGAGTTCCCCTGACTCTCGGCGACAGCCGAACGTCTTATGCACACTATGGTACCAGTCCTCTACACACACACACACACACACACACACACACACACACACACACACACACACACACACACACACACACACACACACACACAAAACTCGTGTCGAGCCTGCTGGTTAGGACAACGCTGAAGTACAATAACACAGCGAATGTAGGGGACATTCCAGTTTCCCCATCGTGCTCATCCCTCCTCCCCTCGTTCTCCTCTCCTGGGGGTGGCAGCCCCGCTGCGGCTCACAGGCCGGTGGCGCCCAGGGCGAGCGTCTTTCGTTTTCCTTGTGGCCTCTGGAGCATCAGGCGTACCTGGCCAGCGTGCATCGTCTGTAGTGCTGGCCTCTCTGGAGCCTCGTGCGTCTCTTGCTCGATGTGGCCCTCGCCCCCCCTCCGACTTCGGTGCGCGGCACGCCTGCCTCTGGCAGATACAGTCGACCCGTACCACAAGGATGCACGATGAGGATGCAAGGGCCTTGGAAGGCCGTTTCGAAGCTTTTCGAGCGGGGCGCGGCCAACGAAAGTGGCCGAGGACGGACCGAGGAGGCAAGGATGCAAGGCAAGGGTACCCTTGGGAAGGTTGCACATCCTTACTGTGCGGGTTAACTGTAGGTGGCGACATCCGAATCCCACATCCCTCCTCGAAATCGAACGCGAGCTGTTCGTGCCACGTGGCGGCGCCCCGGGACCCCCCAAATTTCAGCGCTCGCGCCGGAGCTGGCGACTGCAGGCACAGAAATCTGACCCCCGTGGGCCGCGTCCCGCGCGCCGCTCAGCCTCGAACGCCCGCGCTCGACTCGAGAAGGGTTGTACCCCCGCCGCCCATCGAGTTGCCCGAATCGTATCGGCGAGAGCAGGGGTCCACACGCGAAGCCTGCCCCTGCCCCCCACGACTTCTGAGGGGGAGGGCGGGGTTCACTTCGTTCGGGAGCTCCCGAGCGAAGCGAACCCCACCCTCCCCCTCAGAAATCGTGGGGGGGGCAGGGGCCAGGCCTCGCATGTGGCCCCCCTGGCGAGGGCTGGGCGCCAGGGCTGCGCCGCCGAACAGGCTGGCGACCCTGGAGTGCAGGAGGAGCCCCGCGGGGAGGGCACCCCTCGGCCGCCGGGCCCGCCGTCGGCGCCGCGGCGCTCCCCCGGCCGCCGGACGCCCGACAACGGTGCCCTGGCAGGCCATACTTGAAATGGTCTTCCCCAGTCGGCGGCGAGCGAGGGGGGGGTCGGGCGAAAGGGGGGGATAGCAAAGGGGGGGTTTGAGAATCAGCTCACGTAGCTGATTTTCCCGGCGCCTCCCGGCGCTGGAGGCGGCCATGTATCGAGGAATGGGCCCCTCGGTGAGGCCGAAACCAGCTGCATGCAGCAAATTTCGTACCCCCCCTTTCCCAATCCCCCTCTTTCGCCCGGCCCGAGAGGGGGGGGGGGAAGTGGGAAGGAGAAGGCCTTCTCAGAAGGCGGCGGGACTTCTCAGAAGCCCGCGCGCCGACTGCGAAGTCTTCGGAGAGATTCGGGGAACGCTTAGAAAACGTCGCAGAAGGCCCGGTGAGTTCCGAGCCTTCCGAGAAGGCCAGCCCCTTCTCGCTTCCCCCCCGGGCCCGCTGCCGACCACTGCACAAAGGTGGCAACGGAAGATCAAATAACACTCGATGACAACGCGACACACAGTGCATAATGCCTGTGCTCATCGGACAAAGCCCCTGCCACCACTGGACCAGAAAACAAACGACACCATCCCACCTACGGCCCTTTTAGCATATGCTATGAATTTCGGCTCGGGTTTTTGCGTGGAATGCGCTACAGCCCCCGATGGGCCGCAGGGCAGCATGGAGAGCCGCAGGCGGGGTGGTGTCGTTTGATGCTTGGTCGAACCACGACGTTCGCCCGCCGAGATCCCGCCCAATCTTCTAGAGCGGCCAACACTCGAGACTGTGCCTCTGAAAGCACCAGCCTGAACCCGAGTGTGCTGGAAGAGATCCAGCGGTGCACCTTTGAGGGGGAACGTTGAGGGGCGACTGGCCGAAGGGGGGAAACATGGACCTGGAATCGGCGATGTGTCGCCCGATGAGATCGGCGACGGGCCCCTCCTCCTCCTCCTCCTCCTCCTCCTCCTCCTCCTCCTCCTCCTCATCATCATCATCATCATCATCATCATCAACATCATCATCATCATCAGCATCAGCATCATCATCATCATCATCATCATCATCATCATCATCATCATCATCATCATCATCATCATCATCATCATCATCATCATCATCATCATCATCATCATCATCATCATCATCATCATCATCATCATCATCATCATCAATCAATCAATCATCAATCAAATCAATCAATCATCATGATCATCATCAGCAGCAGCATGAGCAGCAGCAGCAGCACAGCAGCAGCTCATCATCATCATCATCATCATCATCATCCTGTCCCTCCTCCTCCCCCCCCCGCCTCCTCCTCCTCCTCCTAATCATCGAAAACATCATCTCCTCACAGCATCATCTCATCATCATCATCTCATCATCATCACATCATCATCATCATCATCATCTCAATCATCGCATCACATCAGCACACATCAGCATCATCATCATCAACATCAATCATCATCATCATCAGCACAGCAGCAATGTCAGCATCATCCTCATCATCGTCAGCGTCATAGTCATCGGGGATCGTCATCGGCGTCATCACATCATCATCATCATCATCATCATCATCATCATCATCATCATCATCACATCATCATCTCCTTCCCTCTCATCCTCCCCCGCCTCCTCCTCCCCTCCTCCTCCTTCCCTCCTCCTCCTCCTCCTCCTCCTCCTCCTCCTCTTCCTCTCCTCTTCCTCTTCCTCATCCTCCTCCTCCTCCTCCTCCTCCTCCTCCTCCTCCTCATCCTCCTCCTCCTCCTCCTCCTCCTCCTCCTCCTCCTCCTCCTCCTCCTCCTCCTCCTCCTCCTCCTCCTCCCCCCCCTCCGCCCCCTCCTCATCCTCCTCATCCTTCTCCTCCTTCTCCTCCTCCGGTTTCCAGGTCATGACTCGTGCCTCTGGCTGACGATTGAGACGACGCGGACACCCTGGAGAGCACCCCAAGGCTGGAGAGCCGCCGCGAACCCAATCAAATCAAGAAACGCCCCCCCAAAAAATCGGACCTCGGGAGCCCGAAACGTTCCTCCTCTGGGCCAAAACGGCGGGCGGCCGAGCCGATTGAGAGCCCACGCGCCTGGACCACGGAAGAATGGTTGTGCAGGGCTGCCCCGACTTCAAATCCGCCGTGCTCTGGGCGATTTCGCGAGCAGGGCAGCAATGCCCGCCCTGCGTTTCAGGCTCCTTGGATTTCGATGTCCGGCCTGCTTTGCCGCCGCTGTAGCACAGCGGATCCCCAGGTCGGGGACACGGCGGCAGGCGAGAAACGGCACGCGGGGGCGGCCCGCCGCTGGAGGACTTGCTGGCGGCGGCGGCCCCCGCGGGCCGCTGGTTCACGGACCTCGGGCAGGGCGCGGGGCAGCGGGGAGGCGGGCCGGGAAAGGAGGGGGGCGAGGAGGGGAGAAGGGCTGGGGGGCAGTGGGAAGGGGCGAAGAGGGGCGAGGAAGGGCGAAGAGGGGAGCAAGCGAGGAAGGGATAAGGGATGGGGGGGGGAGGAGAGGAGAAGGGCGCGCGGGGGGGGCGAGCCAGGGGCGCTCGCGCCGGAACTGACATCCTACCCCAATCCCACCCATCCCTTCCCATGGCGCTGTGAGGACACATGTCACGGCGGGCCCCCAGCTCCAAAAAAGACCACATCGTGCTATACGCAATCGGAAGAGGATAGCGGCGGACCACGGAAAACGAAAAGGAGTAGGAGGAGGAAGAGGAGGAGGAGGAGGTGGAGGAGAGGGAGGGAGAAGAGGAGATTGATGATGATGATGATGATGATGATGATGATGATGATGATGATGAGAAGGAGGAGGAGGAGGAGGAGAAGGAGAAGGAGGAGGAGGAGGAGGGGGACGAGAAGGCAGCAGGCGATCAGGAGGCTGAGCAGGAGGGAAAGGAGGAGGACGAGGGAGGAGGACAGAGACGAACAGCAACAGCAAAGGGGAGGAGCAGGAGGAGCAGGAGCGCCAGGGGAAGGCGGAGGAGGGAGAAGGAGGGGGGCGTACAGTAGGAGCTCGACCACAAAAAAAACCCAACCCTGAGACCCCATGGCAAAACCCTCAAAGCCCGAGAAACCCAGGGCACCCTGGAGGCCTTGCTTCTTGGCATGGGTTTCCACTGTACAACGATGAGGAAGGACTCGGCCCCAGCGAAAGCGGCCCGCGCCGGGGCAAGCTCACCACCTTGAACGGCGGAGGCAAAGCGCCGATCCCAACATGTGAGGCCCACGCTACACTGTGGGAGCGAATACGCTGCCCTGGCCCTCCCAGGCTGCCCCAGATATAAAGACGGGGACGCAACGCATTGGGGGGCCGAATGTCGTGACAATTTCGTCGCGTCACACAGCGGCGCAAGATACGCCTGATCGGAAGGGGGGAGGAGAAGGAGGGAGAACAGAGGAGACAACTGATGTATTTTCTCTCGCGAGGCAACAGTTCCTCGCGTCCGAGCATAATCGCCAGCATACGGGGAGGCAAACCCCCCGAGTGCCCGCGCCCCAGGGAGGGATGTGGTGGGAAACTCAGACGAATTGACACTGAAGCCAAAATGGCCACGATAGCAATGCCATCGGCCGGCTCCTTTGCTCCTTCACGCATCGCATGCACAACCCAACAATTACGCTGGACTGGACTGCCCTCACAAGCCACCCCAGATAAAGACGGGGGCGCAACGCACTTGGGAGCCGAATTTCGTAACAAATTCGATGCGTCACACAGCGACGCAAGATACGCCTGATCGAAAAGGGGAAGGAGAAGGAGGGAGAACAAAGGAGAGAACTGATGCATTTTCTCTCGCGCGGCAACAGTTCCTCGCGCGGGAGCATACTCGCCGGCATACGAGGAGGCAAACCCCCCGAATGCCCGCGCCCCAAAAATGCGATTATGCACTGCTGCCAGCGCCTGCCTCGACAGATGCACGGAAAGCTTCTTTAGCGGCCTCTCTGTCCGACGGGAGACATTTCTCGCAAATCAGCTTGTGAAATGCTGGCGTGGACGTAACTCTCCTATGGCCGGCGAACCCGAACTGCCAGCCGCAAGAAGTCCGCCAGAATGAAGGGCATGTCTGGACGGAGCCTTCCTGCACATGGCGCACGATCGAGGAGCGCAGATTCTGTACAAATGGGGGGGCCCTCCAAACACATCTGGCGAAAGCTGGAGGTCTCCCTCTCCAACTCCAGCCGGAGGGAGCTGACCGCGTTGGCCAATTCGGCCACCTGTTCCGCGAGCTCGGCACCAACCTGATCAGCGCGAAGCACGCCGCAAAAACTACGAGGAGGCCCCGGCGGCAGCGCCGCGCGATGCCTGCAGTGCCAATCGCGCAGAATGCGACAAGGGCACAGCGCGCATATCTCCTAAGACGGCCAACGAGCCCCAACGGCCCAGCAACTGAATTGCCCAAGTGTCGAGACCCGCCCGAGACAGACCTTGCGCGCCCGTCACGCGGAGAGAATGCCCCGCCCACCTTTCTTCCCCGCCAGGCCCCCAGGGGCAACCCCAAAAGCTCCGCCGCCTTGGCGATGGTTGCAGCAACCGCAACCTTCGAGCACGGGTTGCCCTAGGAAAATGGGCAAATCGGGGAGCGGCATCCCGTCGGACAAAATATCCGGGAACTGAGCCTTCAGCCACCGCGCCTGCGAAGCCACAGTGTTGGACAGGGCAGACTGGCCCCAAGCTACCCGATTGGCAGCAACAGCCGCGGGCGCTCACAGCCCCCAATGCCTCGGGATCCGACTTGGAGGCTAGAAAGTCCCAGGAGACCTGCAACTCAGCGCCACAGCCAGACGGAACTACGAACTTGGCCCCGGCATAGGAGATCTCGACCTCGCGCAGTAGCCACCAGGCACCAGCGACGATCATGAGCTTAGGATTTGCGGGCCCTCCGCGAACCCATGGCGCAGGGCCATCGGGAAGCCGTGAAATTCCAGATAGGGCAGTGCCGAAGCCTGCGAACACGGGCCCATGCCTCTCTCACAGGACCGCACTGCGTCCTTCAAAGCTCGCGCCGCACACTGATCTACCATGCGCCCCTGCCGTTCGGCCTCCGCGCACGCGGTGGACAGGTACAATCGGGCGGCACGATACCTACGCGCTTTAAGACTAGCCCACGAAGCATTGACCGTCACAGCAGCGAGAGGGACAAGGTTCAACCCCCACATGTCCAGCAGCTCCCGGCACGTCTTGAGCCTGCAGGCCGCAGATGCCCGCGACGACTCCGCGTAGCGGTTGGAGGCTAGCGGAACCAAGTCCTCCCTCGGCCGACGACGCTGCCACATGGGAGGAACCCAAGGAACGAACCGGCACGCAAAATGGCGGCCCAGCCTACCTGGCGCCGAAATGCCACCATGCAGGGGCACGGAAGGCCAGATGGGGGAAGGGGGGGAGGGCAAAGAGAGGCGCAGGTAAGAGGGAGGAATCGAATCAGCGCGTTGCCACGAGGACAATAATAACGTCTTCATGTGGGCACCTCGCGGCGCGCGGCTGCTCGCACTCCCCGCGCCCCAAGCACCCCCCCTACGGGCCGCTGAGTCATCGCCGGGCGCGGCGGCGGGAAATCCGCTAACCGCGCCCGCCAAATCACGTCGAGCGCCGGCGGGGGAACAGCCTTCGCGGCCAAAAGTGCCTCGGGGAGGGGCGTAGACGGGACCGCCGTGAGCCTAGAGAGGGAATCAGCCCAGACATTTGCGTCGGACGGCAGGCGGGCCACCGAGTAGCTCCACCGAGACCCGGCCTTTCGCCACGAAATCTCGCGAGTGACTGCATTCAAAGACCTACGACTTCTGCCATTCGCGGCGCCCGCAAGGGCGCCTAAGCTGCCACCCCAAGTGGTAACGCGTTGCGAAACAGCGCGTTCGTCTGCCCAGACGAGCAAACACAGGAGGGCAGCGATGGCCCCCCATAATGTCTGCCATTTCGGGCCCCCCGCTGCGGCCCCGAAGCGCTGGCAGATGGAGTCCGCCCACGAGCAGTGAAAATACTGCCTCTAACCAAAACGCCGCCACAGCCCCATGGCGAAGCGTCAAACTCGATATGCCCCCGCGCTGGCGGGAGGCGCCGGTCGCCCGGGGATTGGCGCACAACACGGCGCAAAGAAAAAACAGCCCCTTGGACCGACGCCAAGAACCACGCGGCGGCAGCCGAGAACCGGCGAATTGCCACGCGACCGGGAGGAGCCTCAGGCCGGGCCGAGCGCGCGGCCGTTTCTGCGGCCGTCAGCCTTCTGCGGCCGTCAGCGCTGCCCAGAATGACCCAGCAAAAGGCGTCGCCTGGGGTACCACTTGCACTATTCGGGACGCCTTCCCAACAAGCGATCGCGCCTTTGACAGCGGGGCGACACCGTCGCGCCCAACAAAAAGATGCAAAAGCGCAGCAGCTTCGACCAAGAACTCCCGCGGGGGGGACACGTGCGCCGTGCCATCTACGACCTCGTACCTGATGCCGATCCACCGGTGGTGCCCGGACGCGAAGACGCCCTTGTCCCACGACAGGCCCGGCCCGAGCGCGAGCCACCAAGCGAGGACGACATCCGCATTGACTTGGACGTCCCCCTCGGCGCCTGCCAAAGTCAGAGCCAGGTCGTCAACGCACAGCTGCAAACGGCACGCATCTGCCGACAACATGGCCTGGGTCGACCGGGCCACGAACGAGGCGAACCTGGAGTAGACCTAAAGGGTTAGACTTGTCTCCGAAACCTAGCACGCGCCATGCGCTCACCCGGCCAGAATCTACAGACGGAGGCTGTTGAAGGACGGCGACATTAAACCTGCGCTCCTGCTCGCGCAGTGGGATGCTCATGAAAGCGTCATTGAAGTCCAAGAGCAACACCTTCACGACTCCTGCGGAGCATTCGAGGGCATACTGCGCCTGGGCAGCCAAATCTCCCCCGCGGTCAATTCCGCGAGGGAGAACGGCCCGCGCGTGCGTCGAGGCCGTCAGATTGACCTCATTGGTCTTGAGATCCTGAATGATACGGTTTTTGGACGAGCCGTCGCGCTCGCGCTTCCTGACCTCCCCGAATGGCGCAGGGAAAATCGGGTCAAAGCGTGCCGCGGCCTCAGCCTCGCCGCCGAAGGTCCCCCCGAAACCTTTACAAATACGAACGTATCAGCCCCATCGCGGGCGGTTCGCTCTCCCCGTGATTACCCTCGAAGGATGGGCGGTTCCAGGCCAACCTGACTGCCCCAGAGACCACATCAGCCTGGCATAAAATGCTAGGCGACTCGGCCAAAGGACAATGACCCCCCGGGAGGATAGAGCGCATACTTCCCATAAAAACACAGCTTTCCATCCAAACCCCGAGCTCCTGATCCGGGTCCCCGGCGGCCCTCAAGATCTCCTGCAAGAACCGGAATCGAATCCCAGATGCAGAGTGAGCGCGTTCAACTTCTACCCCGGAGAGTCCGCGCGCTCGCCCGGACACCGTTCCCGGGCTGGGCGGCGGGCGGACTGGTGGTACACCACAGCAATCCGTCAGACACTGGAGGGGAGATGTCCACCCCCGGATTTCGACGATGGCCCCCCGCACTCTCCACGCGATCTCTCCGAGCCCTCCTGCACAAGAGACAGCGCGGGGAGCGTTGCGAAAGCCCGCCGAGCAGGTCGAATCTTCGCGGCGCCGTTCCTCCCGCCGAGCGCCCCCGCCCGCGCTACGAAGAAAATTGCGACGGGCTCGATCGCCCTGAGAGGCAACAGTGAAAATCGAAGAACTTGGCAAAAATAAAATTGCCCGCGGTCCTGCCAACTCCGCCCCCGCACCCCAAGCCATGCACTCGTGAACCCATGCATCCAAAAATCCATCGCGTAGTTCGCCAGGGCCGCCGGAAGCTAGGCCAACGAGTCCTCGGCACGGGTGCGGACTCGTCCTCCCGCAGAGGTAAGTGACCCCATCCCCGGCAAGACCCCATAATCCCTCCAGAGCGTCGAGGCGTTGGCCGCAACACCGCAACCTCACTGGGCGGTCGCAGACGGCGCCAGACTAGCACGAAGGAAAAACGAACGTCCGACCAACCCTCGTCGAGGAGAGAATCGAAAGAGTCCAACGGCCAGATATAGGACCGGCCAGGGCCCTCGATGCTGACGACGGCTCCACTGTTGGCAAGCGCGCGGGCCACCGCAGCCGCCCTCTCGGCGATTTGGTCGGCTGCGAGAACGTGGGCCCCGGCAGGGTTGGCCGAACGGGCCCTGGCGCGCCGCGACCGGTCCTGGGCTTCCGCGAACGTCATCTGTGGATGGGGCACGCCGGACGACGAGAGTCCAGTCCCGAGAACTCAAAGCAGGACACTCTGCGAAGACGCGCTCAACGCCGGCCTCCTCGGAAAAGTCGGGAATGCCTCGCGAGCGCAGACCGAGCGCTTCCGCCTTCCGCGCCAACGCGCCGGCGTTGGTAGCGTCAAAGAAAAAGAGCCCCCGTCTCAAGTTCCCCCCCTCCTCCGCCCCCGCCCCCATCGCCGTCTCCACCCCGCGCGCCCCCGAAGCAGCAGCCGTCAACGCAGACGAAGATTGGGCAGCGACGGGCGGACTGGAATGCGAGGGAGGCGCAAGGCAAGCTGGCGTAGATGATGATGATGATGATGATGATGACGATGATGACGGCGAAGAAGACGACATCGTTGCCCCCAGGCTCATCCCAGCAACTCAGGCGGGAACGTTGCCTCGACAAGAACGTTGCGAAGCATGCCAAAGATGCTGATAATTCACCGAGTTTCCGCTTACGCCCCGAAACATCAAGGCGCGCCGGCAATGCCGAAGCAACGCGGGGGCCACCCGTAATCCCGCAAATTGTAAAAGTGCCTCGCGCGCGACAGCCGGCGAAAGCGGGCGCGCCGGCATTGCCGGAGCGACGCGAGAGACCAACGTAATCCTACCAAATGCGGGGGAGGCCCGCGCACCCCGGCCGGCAGCGCTTGGCGCACGCCCTCGTCAGGCGGCCCGTCCGTGTCTAGCTGCGTGCGAGGTCAGGCGAGCGGCTTCCAGTTCTTGGGCCTCGCCGCCGCCTTACATTGGTTGTCGATGGCACGGTGCCCGCCCACACACCACTCGCCGGAGTGGCTCCGCTTGTTCGGGCACGGTCCGGAGACGCACCCGTCGGGCGTCCGGTTCCACGTGAAGCACAGCTCCTGCCCGTCCTTCCAAAGGAAGCGGCCGTCCTTCCGTTGCGCCCCAAGCGCCGCCAAGCCCTTCTTGGGCTTCGCCTTCGGTTTGGCGCCTGGCGCTGGCGCCGAGGGGGCCCCGCCGGCCGTCTCGGCGCGCGGCTGCTGCGGGGCCGACGCTGCCTGCGTGCCCGGGCGGGGCGCCATCAAGGCAAGCTTGTCGACGTGATCGTACCACCAGCCACTCATGGCCCCAGCGTTCGATTTAGCGTTGTCTCGGGTCATTGCCTCTCACGGGCGCTCGGCGACAAACGTGCCAGAGTACGACCCGTTCTCCACTTGCGCTTCAATGCGCTGCCTGACCCGCTCCCATTTTTCGGAAAGCATCTCGTCGTCGAGTTGAGAGATTATCCCCCAGTGGTGTGGAAAGGTTGCGCAGAGGAGCCGCATGCCCTCCTCATACTCATCCAAAGGCCCAGGCAAGCAGGCCTTGAGGGTCACCATGGCGGTCCGGAACACGCGCCAGCAGGCCCGCCACTGCTCGAACGAGGAGGGGCCCTTGAGCTGACGCGTGACCAACTCGCCGCCTACGAACACCTGCGCGGTGTAGCGCTTGACCTTCTGCTGGCGCCTCCCACATGGGCCCCACACCGCCATGTCCGCGTAGGGGGCGACTTCCTCCGCGAGCCTGGCCGCTAGGGCCGAGATCTGGTCCCCTGTGGCTTCCTCATGCTCTCAGGGCGGACCCCCATGCGCCCTCTCAAACTCGTCCAAGAGGGAACGCAGCTTGGGTTCGAGTTCGAATTCGCCCTCGTCAGCCTGGTCGGTCAAAGCAGAAAACTTCCGTTTCCAAGATGTTTTCCCGACACTGCGCCGCGGAAGCGCCCCGTGCAGCCCGCCGCCGGGCGGCCCGCCGCCAGGCCAGGCGGCCCGTCGGGCGGTCCGCCGAAAATGCCGAAGTCGGGCGGTTTCGCACCCCCGACCTCCACCACGCGACCAAGGATGCGCATGAGCGCCATCTTCTGAAAGGCCGAAAGTGGTGCACCGGACATCTCGCACGAGTCCATCGCAAACGTCAGGTCGGTGACGCGCATCCCCAGCACATCGTTGACCGGTACCGTGTCGTACGACGCTCCCATGTGCACGACATAGGCCTCCAACAACTCCTGGTCGGCCCCCGAAGCCGCTGCCACGGCGGCGACCCTGAGGTTGTGGTTCACACCTGCGGCGGCACGAACACGTGCCTTGGGGGCCGGTTCGACCAGCGCCGCAGGCCCACCCACCCCGCAGGAAGCTCCTCCGCAAACCACTCCGCCATGTGCCCCCCAACCTGTTTGAAGGAGCCGGTAGGGGGTGGGAGTAGGTAGAGTAGAGAATCAAGGAAAAGAAAATCAGATGAATTGACACTGAAGCCAAAATGGCCAGGATAGCATTGCCATCGGCCGGCTCCGTTGTTCCTTCATGCAGTGCATGCACAACCCAACACCGTTCTGCATAAACCGAGAGCGTGTTCGAAGCCTCGCTGCTCTGGAGGGGCCGCTCTGCATGGACCGCGCCGTTCTGGACGGGCCGCGCCGTTCTGGATGGGCCGCGCCGTTCTGGATGGGCCGCTGGGAATACCGTTCTGGATGGACCGTGCTGGATGGACCGCGCCGTTCTGGCAGTGCTACGGTGGGAGGACCGTTCGCATCGGGAAAACACGCACAAGGCAGGCCTGCTCGGCACCATGCCGTGGAGAGAAACACGATGCGTGGAGAGGGCGCGACCCCCCTCCCCGCCCATCTTCGGGGAGGGAGGGCGGGAAGAGGTGGGAAGAGGGAGGGAGGGAGGGAGGGGGGAAGGAGGAGGGAGGGAGGGAGGAGGGAGAAGGAGGGACGGAGGGAGGGAGGGAGCAGGCAGGAAGAGGGACGGAGGAGGGAGACCAAGGGAAAGCAGGAGAAGGAGATGGGGAGGAGGAGGAGGAGGAGGAGGAGGAGGAGGAGGAGCAGCAGCAGCAGCAGCAGCAGCAGCTCGCCCTGCACTCCCTCTCCTTTATCCCTATACACTATCACCTCGCCTCCTCTACTGATGGCATTCCATCCATCCCTTCCCTCCGTCCCTCACTACCCCTCTTACCTCCCTTCCCTGTGCTCCCCTTCGTCCATCTCTCGCTCCCTCCTTCCACCCCCGAGACCTCCCCCCTCCTCCGTTTCGCCGCCTCTCCACTGCCCCTCCTCCAAGCCTTCCCTCCCTCCTCTCCCCTCCCCTCCCCTCCCTCCCCTCCCCTCCCCTCCCCTCCCCTCCTTCCCGCCACTCCGAACCTTCCCTCCCTCCCCTCCCCAGCCCCTCCCCTCCCCTCCCTCCTCTCTCCTCCCACTCCTCTCTCCCCTTCTCCGCTCATCGCCCGTCCCTCCGACCCCCCTCCCACCCCCTCCCAGCTCCCTTCCCTTCCCTCTTCCCCCTCTGCTCCTCTCCCTTCCCCTCCGCCCCCCGTGCTCCTCGATGATCCTCCGCTCTCCACCCCGCGCGGGGGGGGGGGCGCGGCAGCCTCTCATCGGTCAGAGACTGCTGCCCGAAGCGAAATCCCCCGGCGCCCCGGACGCCGTGACCCCAGCGAGGCACCCGCATAGCAGGACACGAGTGCTCCAGCCTGGCTCCCGCAGCCCCAACGGCTCGGACGCACGTCGCGCCGAGGCGCGGGGCCTCGGGGGACCCGAGGCGGTGACGGTCCGACGTCCCTGTCACACGCTCAGGCCTGGAAGGCCTGGGATGAGGGTAGTCGCGTGCCTCTCTGCAACTCTCTTACACGCTCAGGGCCTGGGAATGGTGAACATCTGGTGCCCCTGCCACACGGGGGTAACCCAGTGTTCCTGCCACGTGCTGTCGACATGGGAGACCTGCAGTGATGAGGAGATTCCCACCCATCTTTTCTATAATGCCAGGATCGGCGGTGGACAAACCTCCCTTTCGCAAACCTCCCCTTAGTGAAAACGGCCTGGGACCGAAACCGACGGACCTGGACCCGCAAAAACGACGGCGGCGGCGCCCTCTCGCGAACCGAAAACGGCCAATTCGCTAATCGACGTGTCAGGGTAGGAGGTCTGTCCACCCCCGAGAAGCGGGGAGGCCTGTCGGCGGAACGGATTCGCCTGGGAGGCTCGCCGCCGGATGGCTGTCGGCCGCGTTCGCCCGCTGCCCTCCCACGTGCTGTCGGGGGCTGGGGCGTCGGCCAGGGTTACGTCGGGCCTGTCCCTCCACAAAGGGAACTACTCAATCGACGTGTCGGGGCAGGAGGCCTACCCACCTCCGACGGGACCGCCCGGGAGGACCCAGAGCGGCGAGGATCGCGCGCCCTGCCCCGCCTCGCTGGACCCGGGGAGGCCCGGACGGCGAGCCTCCGAACCCTCCTGCCAGGCCTCTCGGGACCTGCGAGGCGCGGCCCGCATAGCAGTGTTCCACAGAAAGGGTACACGGTGTTGATTTTCAAACGCCGCGAGGCATTGGTGAAACTAATCTCGCGACCAGACGTCCAGAGTCTGGAGGAAGGCGGAAAAAGAGCGAAGGAGGAAGAAGGGGAGAACAAGGAGGAGGAGGAGGAGCACAAGCACAGAAGCCCGCGGATGCGTACGTCGGGCACGCGCTAACATGGATTGGGGATCCGTGGATCCGAGGAGGGCGACCACAACAGGCAGGGGTGGGCTTCCTGGGCTCGGGGAGCCCCCTTTCCTCTTCCCCTGCTCGGTCTCCCCAAATCGGGAGGCGTGCTCCATCCGCCCTCCTGACCTCCTCTGCTCCCCGTCTCTGGCCTCGCCTCGAGCCCCATACGTTCACGCTTCGTTGTGTCGCCCCCCCCCCCCCCAAAGCGGCGAGGGCCGCTGAGTGGGGTCTGGCAGCGTTGGCGTGCGAGAGCTCCAATGTTATTCGCGTCCGCGTCTAACAGGAGGAGGAGGAGGAGGAGACAGAAGTGGAATCAATAATCTGTAAGCGAGCGATGGTCACTGAGGCAGCTATGGTCATCAACGAGCACCGCCCATGAGAGATCTGAGAGACCATCTCCCAAACTGTTGCCCCAACATATCCGTCAATGCAAAAACGTCTACTCTCACGCACTCTTAACCTCGATGTCCCCTCCAATGAGGTCTGTCACCTCAGAGTGAATAAGTGAACAGTAGTCTTCCGGACGGGATACGTAGGAAACAGTTGGACTTGATTGGACAGGACACGCGAGAGGACTCAAAACACTTCCGAGGGCCACATTGCCGTAGGAATGTAGAAGACATGGGTCACGAAACAGAGGACACAAGGGTACCCGCGACTTGGAAGGATCCACTTACTAATCGAGCTCGACTGTGGCGAAACACTGTGCGAGGTTGGGCGCGGCCCCGAGCAGCAACAGCAGTGTGTTGAACACAACGCGCGTCCCACGCGCAGGAGCAAGTGCAGAGGGGAAGGGCAGCGTAAGTGCACGGGTTACTCCGAGGAGAAATGAAGAGGCCCCAGGACACACACACACACACATACATATATACAGATAGACACAAATCCAGGGATTCCCCATATCTTCCCATATCTTCTGGAATTTCGTCTTCCCCCCACTTCCAATATTTCCCCACACTTACCCGGGAGCCGACGACGAGTTGTGCCTGTGCTCTCTCCTCTCCTGAGCAGCAAGGGGGACCCCTCCTCGGGCGACGGCGAGCCCGGGTGGCGCAGCAAGTCTGGCCGGGACCGAGGGACTCCACGCGGAGGGCATCCAACCGGACCCGCCTCCTCTCGAGCAACGCTGGGTCCCGTCGGAGCAGGTCGGGTCGGACCAAGTCGGGGGGCACCAATCGGGGATGGACAGAACCCCCTTCAGTAAAGCGTGGTTTAGCGAAAACGACCTCGGGTCCAAACCTGGCGGGCAGAAGCCTGGAAAATGACGGCCGCGGCGCCCTCTCGAGAACCGAAAATGGACAATTCACTAATCGACGTGTCAGGGTGGGGCTTCTGTCCACCCCCGAACCAAGGTGGGGTAGCAGGGGAACGAACCGCGGGGTCCAGCGCCGATCTGAGAAATCCGCGCGGAGCTCCGAGTTGTTGTGTTTATGTCCTTGGTAGGGGCAAAGGTGGGGCTGCAGGGAAAATCGCTCCAGGCGGCCCCTGGAAGAAGGAAACGCGTGAAAAGCGGGAGCCTCCGGTCGGGCCCGTTTTCCCCAGCCCCACCTTGTGATGACCCTCCCTCTGCGAACCCCCGAGCCAAGATCTGGTGGGTCTCTGGCTGGGCTTGTCAAGCGACCTCAGCCTCCCTCGACATCCTCCTGGTCCAGGACGAGAAGGACGTCACGATGCGACTGGCTCAAGATGCGCTCCAGGAACTCCAGGATATATCTGCCGGCCCTCGTCTCTGGAGCCCGGGCGGAGCAGCGGGAAATACTGGAGTCCTTGGGGGTCTTGAAGCGAACCATCCTCGTGACGTGATTGCTCCTCCGACTGGCCCCCCCCCCGCTTCCAGACATGATGGCGGGATCGTTCAGCTGCGCCGAGAGTGCCGGGTTGGCGCTCTCCAGCACGGTGAGATCCTTGATGTCCTGCCGCCGGGGGGGGGGGTACGGCCAAGAGCCTACACACAGCGTGCCGCGGCGGCGGCGTCTCCCAGTCTGTGGAGCGGGCGTGCGGACTGACTCCTGCCGCGCTGCGGCGTGCAGAGAGAGTCGCCGCGGCGGCGGCCCCGGCGGCGCGCCACCCCCCGCAGGCGGACGACGCGCCGCCCCGCTCCGCGGGGCGCGGGAGGCTCGGAGAGGCCCGGGGCGCCGGCGCCTGGAGGCTGTCGGCGGCGGGCGGGGGGGGAAGCGAGGGGGGGCGGGCCGTGCCAGAAGGCTCGGAAGTGCTCGGGCCCCCGCCGCCTTCTGAGGAGGCTCTCTCCTTCTCGCTTCCCTCCAGAGACGGACGGGGAGGTCAGCGTGCCACGCTTGATTAGGTCGGGCATGTCCTCCTGCAGGCGAACTTGAAAGGAGCAACTAAAATCGTCCACTGAGTATCCAAAAATGGTCACAACTAGTCACGAATAGTCAAAGAATGTCCCTACATGCTCTTTTTACTACTATCTTTGAACCTTCCTCCCGTAGAGGGGCATGCCCGACGCAACGCTTCTCCCCCCCCCCGCGCTCGCCGCCGAGATAGGGGGGGGGGGGGGCCGCGTGCCCCGCCCAAGCGCGGGGGGGCCGCAGCGCCCGCGGCGCGGCACGCGGCGCCGCAGCGCCCGGCCGCGCGGCGGCAGCCCCCCGCCCCCCCCTGCCGCCCCAGGTAGAGGGCCCACAGAGGACGTACGCGCCCAGCCACAGTGAACATGTGCAGTAGGGACGGGTGGCAAGGACGCAAGACCCTTGGAGGCCGAGGTTGGACTTGTCTGGGCGGCGGGCGACGAGTGAAAACGGCGAAGGACGGGCCGCAGAGGCAAGGACACAAGGGTACCCTAGATGAAGACGCGCGTCCTTACTAGGCGCGTTGAGTGTATGCACATGAACACGGCCCCTCGATCCGCGAGACCGGCCGCATGATACGAGCATTCGCGCAGGGCGCACTCTCGAAACCGGCGTGGGTGCATGTGCGTGTACGTCCTTCTTTCGCTCCCGACCAGAGGAGGGGACGGCGGCGGCTCGCGCGCGGGGTGCGCGCGCCTCGGAGGTCGGGGAGTGCCGGCCGCTCACCGGCACCTGGAGCAGGGGATCGACTGCAGGACCCTTGTGCCCCAGCACTGCTCTTCACGCCGAATCTCCCACGAAGGTTCGCAGATCGGCGAAAGG